GGTGCAAAGGGAGTTGCAGGGAACAGTGGCGTAGCGTGGGTTGTCAGCACCCGGGGCAAGGCAAGTAATTTGCGCCCCCTAACCCTAACCCCCAGATGCTGCGCCCGGTGCGGCCGGGCCCCCCCCTGCACCCCCCACGCTACGCCACTGGCAGGGAAGGAGACGGGCAAGGGGAGAGGGGTGGGCATTGCTGGCCTGGATCGCCTTAATAAAAGTATTAATTTTAATTTTAATATCTATACCCCAGCAGAAGGCCCCTCGGAGGAGGACCTTATCTTTAGGCAACAGGCGATAGCATTGCTCTTCTCCCAGGGGTTTGGCTCATTAAACAATCTATGGACTTCACAACTGAATTATGGGGGGGGGTGTTTTTATTTTTTACTCTGCTATGCATCTCTGTGTTTTTCTCTTGTAAGCTGCCCTGTGATCTTTGGAGGAAGGGCAGTATAGAAATGTGAAGAATAGCTGTAAAAATAGGAAGCCCTCTTGCGTTCAAGGGGGGGGGATGGGACAAAGTCATTGATCAGCATGCATAACAGGATGGGCTTAGAAGGGAATAATACTAATAAGAATAATTCATTACTTGCCCCCTGCCCATCTGACTGTGTTGCCTCAGCCACTCTGGGCGGCTTCCAACAAAAACACCCCAAAATTTAAAACATCGAAAACTTTCCTACATAGGGCTGCCAGCAGAAGACTTCCGTTTTGTAGAAATGGCCTTTGAATTTAAAGAAATGCCCTCTTTAAGGAGTCCTGTGGTGTAAACGTGTATGTTGTCCTCTAGGTCCAAACACATAGTAAGAGCAAGCAGTGCTCCAAAGTGCTTCTCTTGTGAACTTGCCATCTAAGTTGTTTACTCCTGACCAAAGCTCCTGTTTCCCAAAAGGAATGGAGGGGGGAGGTCTCCTCATCACTTTTTTTTTTAATAAATATTTTTTATTAAGGTTTCAACAAATTTAACAAAACACACACACACAAAACACAACACAAAACATAATAAAACATAAAACATATATAAGTTCAATTCTTAATTTCTTGTAGCTTACTTTCCCGACTTCCTCTTACCTCCCCTTTCTGTATTCCAATTTCAAATTTATTTCCAGCAAATCCTTCCCTTATTTTTTAACTTACTTTTAATATTGCTTACTCTCCTTAATTTAACCATTATCGCTATTAACTCCTTCATTTCTAATCCAACATCATTTTAACACTCATTGATTTTGCTATATTTCGTTAAATAGTCCTTAAATTTTCTCCAATCTTCTTCCGCTGTTTCCCTTCCCTGGTCTCGGATTCTGCTCGTCATCTCAGCCAAACCCATATAGTCAATCACCTTCATCTGCCATTCTTCCACGGTGGGTAAATCTTGTGTCTTCCAGTACTTTGCGATGAGTATTCTTGCTGCTGTTGTAGCATACATAAAAAATGTTCTATCCTTCTTGGACACCAATTGGCCGACCATGCCCAGGAGAAAAGCCTCTGGTTTTTTAGTAAACGTGTACTTAAGTACCTTTTTAATTTCATTATAGATCTTTTCCCAGAAAGCCTTAATCCTTGGGCACGTCCACCAAAGGTGATAAAAAGTTCCTTCAATTTCTTTACATTTCCAACATTTATTGTCAGGCAAATGATAGATTTTTGCAAGCTTGACCTCATCACTTTTAAGCCACCCCACTCCCACCGCATGGAAGGCAGAGGACGTGTTCATTCACAAACCCAGTAAACCATGTGTGTATCTGAAGTGAACCAGGCGCTGCAGCTCCTTCCCCTCTCACTGGGCTGCAGAGGAAATGGATGGGTTTGAAGGCTCTTCCTGCCTCTCTCCCCTGAGCAACAAGAGCAAAGGGTGTTTGTAGGGCAGAACGACAGAGGAGGAGTCAGGGAGGACAGAGGGAGCAATGGGTGGATCCCCCGCCTCTCCCAGGGGGTCCTGATGCAAGCAAGGGGCTTCCTTCTTCTCCATGCAAGGGCCACCCATGTATTCAGAGCAGTCCTTTGCAGATGAACTCTTAAGTTCCATGGGATCTACTCTCAGGCCACTAATGTGCATACCGTGCCAGCCTTAGGAAGGGAGATGGGACAGGCAGGTGAAAGGAATTGCCAAAGGTGTTTGAAAATGGGTGGGGCTCTTGGGAAGGGGGTGCCCAATTGGGGCTTCTCCAGGGGCAGCAGAATGTCTTGGGCAGGAGAATCCCTGCAGGGGCTCTCAGACTCCCTTGGCTTCTTCTTCCCTCCCTCCCAGGAAGCTGCAACTTGCTCTGGATTCTGCGCTCCTCAGGAAGCTGAACCTGCAAACCTCGCTGAGACTGAACCTGCAAGCCTGGCCAGGATGGAAGGAGGAAGATGGACGGTTGACCTGGTCAGGCTGTCTCCCGCATCCCTCCCCACAACCTCTGAGCATTCCCTCCCAGGACCCTTGGAGAAATCTGGTGAGTTCCAAGGGAGAGGAGATGGGGACAGGGATAGATGGATGGTGGAGGGAGAAAGAGGAAAAGATGGAGAGGAGACAAATGGAAGGAAGTTCCTGACAGGAAGAAGGAAGGGGTGAGGCCTTCTCCAAAGCAGCTCTTTGTTTCTTGAATCCCTTTCATAAAGTATAGTGGTACCTCGGGTTACATACGCTTCAGGTTACAGACTCCGCTAACCCAGAAATAGTACCTCGGGTTAAGAACTTTGCTTCAGGATGAGAACAAAAATCGTGCTCCTGTGGCGCAGCAGCAGCAGGAGACCCCATTAGCTAAAGTGGTGCTTCAGGTTAAGAACAGTTTCAGGTTAAGAACGGATCTCCGGAACAAATTAAGTACGTAACCAGAGGTATCCCTGTAGTGGGGGCAGATTTTCTTCCTCCAGGATTTTAAATCTTAGGAGTTACAGTGGTACCTTGGTTCTCAAACATAATCGGTTCCGGAGGTCTTCCAAAACCAAAGCATTCCAAAACCAAGGCGTGCTTTCCCATAGAAAGTAATGCAAAATGGATGAATCCGTTCCAGACTTTTAAAAACAACCCCTAAAACAGCAATTTAACATGAAATTTACTATCTAACAAGACCATTGATCCATAAAATGAAAACAATAATCAATGTTCTGTACCATAAAATAAATAAGACAGCATTGTAGATGATAAAAATTAAAATTAAAACAAAAAACAAGCCACAGTCAAAAATGAAAAGGCCACACAAACAAAAATGAAATAATGGTGTCAGAGCTGCTTCCAGATCCGAGCTCACAGAGGATCACGCTAGCCAGCATTCACTGTATAAAAGTCTTTATTGATTTACAGTTTCCATTTCCAAGCTGCAGCGCGCAACTCTACGTCTTATAAGCTAGACCGGCGAAGCTCCGTCTGAGTCTCCGCCCCCTGTACACCAACTTAATACCCTAGCCTTACTCCACCTTTTCCGCCTGACTGTTCTTCTCTGGGTCCCTCTGCCCCCCGTGGTCTCTTCCTTCCGGGACTCTTCTGACGCTGACCCCCCGGACCCTTCTGTCTCCTTGCGGCGGGCTTTAGGACCTGGCTCCCTTTCCGGGCTGCTTACTGTGCCGCCTTCCTGTGCATTTGAACTTGGCGCGTGCGCCCAACCTCCCACTTTCCGTTTGACCGTTTCTTCTCTCTCCGATGGAGGTGTGGCCACTCCTGACTCATGTCCTCCCCCCTGCGGCGAGCCGCCTGATCCCGATGCCTTGCGCCCTTCCTCCCCACTGCGCTCTGTTGGGGATGTTGGCCCTGATTTCCCACTGCTGCTCTCCGAACCCCCTTTTGTCCCTTCTTCCTGGGGTGTCCCCCTAAGCTCCCCCCTTGCTCTGGTCACTGGCGCTCCTTTCTGTGAATCTTCCGATTCACTGGAAAGACTCGGAGATCTCGGGTCGTCGTCATCGCTCATCTTTCCTTCGGACTCCTCCCCTTCACTCTCTGTTTCCTCCCTTGCCCTCGCCTCTGCTCCTGAACCCCTGACAAATGGGAAAAAACTAAAGCACCAAATGTCACCTCAGAACACTGCAACCAGTAACGGCTTTAATATTGATAAGGTGGGGGGCTTAAATTTGCTGCTCAAGTATGCAAGTGGGATGAAAAAAGCCTTAATTACGATTGGGGGGGGACTTAAATTTGCTGTGCAGCAATCGGGAAGGATAAAATTTAAGCAATCAGCAGCAAAAAAACTCTTATACACAAATCCTGCTTGCTGGTTTCCCACAGGCATCTAGCTGGCCACTGTGAGAGCAGGATGGTGGACTAGGTGGGCCTTTGCCCAATCGAGCAGGCTCTTCTTATGTTCTGATACAGGCATCCCCTAACTTGGCTCTCCAGATGTTTTGGGACTACAACTCCCAACGTCCCTAGCTAACAGGACCAGTGGTCAGGGATGATGGGTTTTGTAGTACCAAAACATCTGGAGGGCCAAGTTTGGAGATGCCTGTTCTAATATACTGCAATATTTTTACAGTTACATGTGGCATAGTAACACTAAAGTTTTACTTCTTAGTCATAGGAGAGACTGCTACTCAAGCCTGTGATCGTTTCCTACCTGGGAAAAGAGAAATACCGAGATGTGTCTAAGAAGCCAATTCCACCACAGATTATAAAATAATGCAGTTTATTAAGTGTGAATGGAGTGATCATGTGTTTTTCTTGCCATTATCTCACCTGCATTCCTAAAAGTTTGGAACATAGAGAGGACAGTGGAGAAAGGAGACAGTGGAGAAAGGATACTGGGACTGACATGTGTTCAGTTCCTTTCTTGTTTTCCCTGAAATTCTTAACAGGATTCTCTTCCCCCTCCCCCACTCCCAAACAGGTGAGGAAGATGATGGCCAGAATTCTATGGAGCCATCTTTGAATTCATTGAGAAGAACAAAGAAACAGTTTCAATGCATGGAATGTGGGGTGTGCTTTAGTCACAGTGGAAAACTGAGGACACATCAACAAATTCACATAGAGGAGAAACCATTTAAATGTAAGGACTATCAAAAGAGCTTCAGTCGAAATGGGCAACTTAGAAAACATCAACGAACTCACACGGGGGAGAAACCATTTGAATGTATTGAATGTGGAAAAAGCTTCAGTGAAAGTGGAAACCTTAGAAAACATCAACGAACTCACACGGGGGAGAAACCATTTAAATGTATTGAATGTGGAAGTAGCTTCAGTGAAAGTGGAAACCTTAGAAAACATCAACGAACTCACACGGGGGAGAAACCATTTGAATGTATTGAATGTGGAAAAAGCTTCAGTAAAAGTGGACACCTTAGAATACACCAACGAACTCACACGGGGGAGAAACCATTTAAATGTATTGAATGTGGAAGGAGCTTCAGTGAAAGTGGAACACTTAGAAGACACCAACCAACTCACACGGGGGAGAAACCATTTAAATGTATTGAATGTGGAAAGTGCTTCAGTCGATATGGAACACTTAGAAGACACCAACGAACTCACACGGGGGAGAAACCATTTGAATGTATTGAATGTGGAAAGTGCTTCAGTCGATATGGAACACTTAAAATACACCAACGAACTCACACGGGGGAGAAACCATTTAAATGTATTGAATGTGGAAAGGGCTTCAGTGAAAGTGGACACCTTAGAATACACCAACGAACTCACACGGGGGAGAAACCATTTAAATGTATTGAATGTGGAAGGAGCTTCAGTGAAAGTGGAACACTTAGAATACACCAACGAACTCACACGGGGGAGAAACCATTTAAATGTATTGAATGTGGAATGAGCTTCAGTGTAAGTGGATACCTTAGAATACACCAACGAACTCACACGGGGGAGAAACCATTTGAATGTATTGAATGTGGAAAGTGCTTCAGTCAATATGGAACACTTAAAATACACCAACGAACTCACACGGGGGAGAAACCATTTAAATGTATTGAATGTGGAAAGGGCTTCAGTGAAAGTGGACACCTTAGAATACACCAACGAACTCACACTGGGGAGAAACCATTTAAATGTATTGAATGTGGAAAGGGCTTCAGTGAAAGTGGACACCTTAGAATACACCAACGAACTCACACGGGGGAGAAACCATTTAAATGTATTGAATGTGGAAGGAGCTTCAGTGAAAGTGGAACACTTAGAATACATCAACGAACTCACACAGGGGAGAAACCATTTAAATGTATTGAATGTGGAAATAGCTTCAGTAGAAGCGAACACCTTAGAATACACCAACGAACTCACACAGGGGAGAAACCATTTGAATGTATTAAATGTGGAAAGAGCTTCAGTCGATATGCATGCCTTAGAAGACACCAACAAACTCACACGGGAGAAACCATTTAAATGTACAGAATTTGGAAAAAGCTTCGGTCGATATAGACACCTTATAAGACACCAACGAACACACGGGGAAGAAACCATTTTAATGTATGGCATGTGGAAGGAGCTTCAGCAAAAGTAGAGCACTTAGAATACACCAACAAACTCATACGGGGGAGAAACCTTTGGAGCGTATTGAATGTGGGAAGAGCTTCAACAGAGAGGATAAACTTACATTACATTGGCGAAGTCCCACAGGGGAAAAGCTTAAGTCAATATGGAACCTTAGGAAACATCCGCTAACTCACATGGGGAAAACCAGATTTATGAAATGTGGAAAAAGCTTCAGAGGGAATGGAGACCTTAATATTCAGAAGATAATTCACACAGGCGGGAAACTATATAAATGTATGAAAAATTGGCAGTGTTTTCAATAATAATAATTTTTATTTGTACCACGCCCATCTGGCTGGATTTCCCCAGCCACTCTAGGTGGCTTCCAACAAAATATTGAAATACAATAGTCCTTCAGATATTAAAAGCTTCCCTAAACAGGGCAGCCTTCAGATGCATTTTAAAGTCTGGTGGCTGTTTTTTCCTTTGACATCTGGGGGGAAAGGTATTCCACAGGGAGGGCACCACTTCCGAGAAGGCCCTCTGCCTGGTTCCCTGTAACTTCACTTCTCACAGTGAGGCAACCGCCAGAAGGCTCTTGGTGCTGGACCTCCGTGTCCAGGCAGAACGTTGGGGGTGGAGACTCTCCTTCAGGTATACTGGATCGAGGCCGTTTAGCGCTTTAAAGGTCAGCACCAACGCTTTGATTTGTGCTCAGAAATGCAATGGGAGCCTATGTTGGTCTTTCAATAGCTGTGTTATGTGGTCCCGGCGGCCACTCCCAGTCACCAGTCTAGCTGCCACATTCTGGATTAATTGCAGTTTCTGGATCACCTTCAAAGGTAGCCCCACGTAGAGCGTATTGTAGTAGTCCAAGTGGCAGATAACTGGAGCCTGCACTACTCTGGCAAGACAGTCTGCGGGCAGATAAGGTCTCAGCCTGCGTACCAGATGAAGCTGGTAAACAGAATTGACCTGCGCTTCCATTGACAGCTGCAAGTCCCAAATGACTCCCAGTCTGTGCACCTGGTCCTTTAGGGGCACAGTTACCCCATTCAGGACCAGGGAGTCCTCCACACCTGCCTGCCTCCTGTCTCTCAAAAACAGGACATCTGCCTTGTCGGGATTCAACTTTAATATGTAAGCCGCCATCCATCCTCCAACCGCCTCCAGGAACTCACACAGGACCTTCACCATCTTCACTGGTTCTGATTTGAAAGAGAGGTAGAGCTGGGTATCCGCATACTGATGAACATCCAGCCCAAACCCCCTGATCTCTCCCAGCGGCTTCATGTAGATGTTGAAAAGCATGGGGAGAAGACGGAACCCTGAGGCACTCCACAAGTGAGAGCTCAGGGGTCTGAACACTCATTCCCCAACACCACTTTCTGAACACGGCCCAGGAGGAAGGAGCGGAACCACTGTATAACAGTTCCTCCAGCTCCCAGCCCCTAGCCCCTCTAGATGGTCCAGTAGGTTGTTATGGCCGATGGTGTCAAAAGCCTCTGAATGATCCAGCAGAACTAGGAAACAGCTCTTACCTTTGTCCCTAGCCCGCCGGAAATCATCGTGTCCAGGTCAGTTTCAGTCCCATGATGAGGCCTGAATCCCAACTGGAAGGGATCCAAATGGTCCACATCTTCCAGGCTTCCCTGGAGTTGTTCAGTAACCACCCACTCAATCACCTTGCCAAAGAATGGAAGATTTGAGACTGGGCGATAGTTGGCCGTATTGGTTGGGTCTAAAGAAATTTTTTTTAACCCAGAAATATTACCTCGGGTTAAGAACTTTGCTTCAGGATGAGAACAGAAATCGTACAGCGGCAGCAGGAGGCCCGATTAGCTAAAGCAGTGCTTCAGGTTACGAACAGATCTCCAGAACGAATTAAGTTCTTAACCAGAGGTACCACTGTAACTGCCTCTTTCAGTGTGTCTGGGAAGGCTCCCTCACAGAGAGAAGCATTCACCACCCCACGGAGCCCATCGCCCAGCCCTTCCCGGCTAGCTTTTATGAGCCAGGATGGGCAAGGATCAAGGAGACAGGTGGTTGGTTTCGCTCGTCCAAGCAGCCTGTCCACATCCTCGGATGTAACAGATTGGAATTGATCCCATGCATCTTTACTAGACAGGACTCTAGCACTCGCCAGCCCCCGCCCTGCTCCCACGGGGGAGTCTACCTCTCTGAATCTGAGTGACTTTATCTGCAAAAAAACTTTGCAAAATCATTGCAGGAGATCATGTGGCCTGTACCAGGCTCCATTGGAGAGATGGTTCCATTAAATTGCTAACCACCTGAAAGAGTCTCCTGCTGCTGTTTTCTGCAGATGCAATATAGGGGGTGAAGAAGGTTTTCTTCACCTTCGCTATCGCTATTTGGTAGGCTTGATGTTGAGCTCTAACCCGTGTCCAGTCAGATTTAGAATGAGGTTTCTGCCACTGGCGCTCTAGCCGTCTTGTTACCCTCAGATCCATGGAAAACCATGGGGCTGTCCGGGCTCCATGCAATCGGAGTGGGCTCTTCATTGCCAGACAGTCAATAGCCCTGGTTAACTCCACATTCCAACGGGCCACCAGGGAATCAGCTGAAAGGCCATCAGCATGGGATAAAACATCCCCTGCCACTCTCTGGAAACCATTTGGATCCATTAAGTTGCAGGGGCTTTCCACCCAAATCGGTCCCACGTCCCTGCAGAGGGGAAGGGTTGTGGAGAAGTCCAGTTGCATCGGGAAGTGATCTGACCATGACACTTCTTTACATTCCCTTTTACTTAGTGTCAGATCACCAACATCCATAGAGGTGAACACCAGGTCTAAGGCATGTCTGCGGCTATGAGTTGGGCCAAACTTACTCAGGGACAGCCCCATGGAGGCCATGCTTTCCACATCCAATCAGCCCCTTGTAAGGTTGTGTCGGCGTGAATGTTATAATTCCCCAGGACAATCAAACTAGGTGTCTCCAGGAGAACATCTGCCACAACCTGAAGCAGTTCAGGCAGGGAATTCTTGGTGCGGGGGAGATCGGTACACCAAAAGGAATCCTGTACTGCCCCTATTGTCCAACTTCAAGAACATGCACTCAGAGAACTGGGTCTTCCCAATAGGACGCCTGGTGCAAATTAATGACTTCCTACAAATCACTGCAAACCACCACCCCCTCCCTGCCCACATGACTTGAGTTGCTGTGCGTAAGAGAAACCTGGTGGACAAGCAGCGGCAAGGACAGGTCCATTACTGCATACAAAAATATTCTTTTGTTTCTTTTGGGATGTCTGTTGTTAATAGGCCCCAAAAAACATTTCTGGTTTATTGGGGAAAGTATGTCGTAACATTTTATTTAATTCTTCATTAATGGTACCCCAAATTTATTTAAGGGCACGTCCACCACATATGGGAGAAATTCCCTTCTTTAAGTTTGCACCTCCAACACTTTCCACTGGTGTTTTGGTACATTTTAGCCAATTTCGAGGGTTTAAGATACCATCTGTACATCATTTTTTTTTAAAAAAAATATTTTATTGTATAACATGCTGTAAATCTTATGTCTCTTTTCCATAAGTTTTCCCATTATTCTAAATCAATTGTATGACCGAAATCTTGTGCCCATTTGACCATGACATCTTTAACCCCTTTGTCTTTTAAGTGCCAATTTAATAATAGTTTATACATTTTGGATAAATACAATTTGGATAAAATTTTATCATCATTTATAATCAATTCTTTGTCTATTTCAAATAATTTTGTATCAAATCCATTTACTTTTTTGTCTTCCTCAAAAATTGCATTTAATTGAGTGTATTGAAACCAGCCTATTCCTGTATGTCTTATTGTTTTATTTTTTCCCATCTGTAATCTATTACACTGGTCAACAACAAATTTGTTGTCTGTATTTTTTCAGTTGATTTAGGACGAATCTGATGCGCTGAATCCAAAAATCACATTGGTTTTGCTGAACCAGGTCAAGTTTTTGAGCTATGGCCACATGTCATTTTTTTACGTTTTTGTTCACATGTACGCTTGTGTGGAGCATTTTAGAAGAAGTTGGTGGGGGTAAAATGCCATGTCGAATAATTGTTTTGATTGGAAATGATTATTTTAATGACAAGAAGTATTCAGGTCCGATAGTTCTGGGTGATTATGTCGAAAAGGGATCAGTTTGAAGTCATAAAACCTTGAAATCTTGGTGCAGCAAAGCATAAAGTTGAGGGATCAAAACTAAGTTAATCCTGGTCTTCAATCAGCACGTCGTCCTGTAGCTCATTGTCATGAAATTCCAGTGCCTATCTTTGGAGAACTTCCTGACATTAGTGACAAAGATGCCTCCAGTGTTGAAGGACATGAAGAAGAAGTGGTTCTTGAAGATGATGCTCCACATCCATTTTCCCAAAAGGAGTTGAATGATCTAGTTCACAACCTCAGCTTGTCAAAGGACTCTGCCGAACTGTTGGCATCCAGATTGAAGGGAAAAAACCTCCTCTCTGACAGTGCTCGCATCAGCTTCTTCCGCAACAGGCATCAAGAGTGCCTCCGTTTTTTTTCTCGGAAGAGAAGGACTTGGTGTACTGTGCAGATATTGCACAGCTTCTGCTCAAGCTTGGAGTGCCACAGTACAAACCCAAAGATTGGAGACTGTTCATTGACAGCAGCAAGTGATCACTGAAATTTGTTCTGCTACACAACAGCAACCAGTTTGCCTCTATACCCCTGGCTCACTCGAGTACACTGAAGGAGAACTATGAAGCGGTGAAGTATGTGCTGTAGAAAATTGGTTATGATCAGCATAAGTGGTTTATTTGTGTTGACCTGAAGATGGTTAACTTTTTGTTGGGACAACAGTCTGGCTTCACCAAGTACCCATGTTTTCTGTGCATGTGGGATAGTAGGGACCGTGCTCAGCATTACACG